GCTGCCGATACGCCGTTGGAAGACGCTAAATCTCAAGGAGGTTACACGATCGCTCTCCCACGTGTAACGTCACGACAGTAGCAGAAGGGACGCCTGAAGCTATATAAGTGGGTATGCCTGCCTCCAATTGCCTATACTTCAACACAGATCCAGCGCAAGGACAAGTGCAAAGGAAATATTCTGGACCAACAAACACACTATCGATTGAACTCTACTCTTACAACAAACAACAACAATAACCAATCAACCAACCTACTCCGAAGAACAATGCCGAACTATGACCAACACATTCCTCAAGTCAACCGAGACAATATTGAACTTTTTATTGCCGAACAACAGATGTGCAACGAGCTTAACCCCTCACCCTGGCTCAATGATCCAAGAATTAGATTCAACCTGGACGGAAAGTACATCGATTGCAGATGGGACCAACAGCTGGGAAAGATCTTTTCCCTCTTCTCCACAGCCGAATTCAAACACACCCCATGTATAATGACTACTACTACATTATCGAGCGAAGGGATAATAGACGAGTTGAAGTTGTCCTCTACCAACAGCAGGTGGACGACTGGAAGCGAGAATGTTTCGACGAGTGGGTCGGCCGGTCAATCTCCGCCAATATGGAATATTACAGTACCCACACAGACCTCCCCAGACATGAGCTTATCACATTCATTCCCTTCCTTGACGCAGATAATTTCAGACACGGCGGGTGCGACGACTACGGAATATACACCGTATATAATAAGCGAAGCGGAGGAGTTATCGCTAGGTGGAGCTACGTCGAACTGCAATCAGTATGGAGACGAGACTTCGATGGATGCTTACTCCCATCCGCCAGAAGAGAACGAGCATGGGAGTTTACAAGATGGATTATGGGACTGGAATTCTTTACTTCAGTCCGCCGAAACCCTGAATACCGACGCGCCATCAATACCGACCACTATTTACCCGAGGCATCACCGTGTGAGCCCCGAGTTAGTAGAAACGCCGAACCTAGCAGTGATGAAGACGTTCGAGAACTGTCAGTACGAATGTGGAACCTCAGTTGTGCTGACGGACAAGGAAATAACAGAAATGCTCGACAAAATGGTAGAAGGCGACGTTGGCGACGCAGAGACCGAGTTGCACACGCAGGAAGACCGGGAAGACCCATGCGATGGGCAGAAGATTGCTATCCCGAGTCCGAATATAGTCCAGAGGAGCGACCTAGCTCACCCGACTACGACACGCCAGATGACTATTGAGGAAGTAAGCGGAGTAGAGGAAGAAAGTGAAGAAGAAGAAGAAGAAGAGCGATCAATAATACAACTAAGGAGAAGCAAAAGAAGGAAGTTGAAGAGGGAATTCGAACAAGCGAAAGAAAACATGCGAACTGACTTTGACGTAGACGAAGCTTATTCATTAGGCGAACTAATCGAGCAGTCTGGATCCGAAATCTCGATGCTCGCGACTAAATGCCTAGGGAAGTACTGGCGAAAAGTTGCTCTTACCGTTTACTACTATAACGAGGGACGATCTAAATGGAATGAAACCCTCACGCCTCGTGACTATTACAACATGAAGATAGGAAAAGGCAAACGACGACAAAGGCGAACAGAAATATAGTCCGGAATAGGGGGGATACTGTGATGACGCAAGCCTATACGATGACGTATTCCTTCCTAAATTTCTGTGGAACCAATAATGCCACCAAGGCTCAGCGAAAATGTAACGGTGGTACTAAGAAACAATAGTCGCACTAGCAGCACGGAGCAATGTAATAGCCAGAGAAAGAATAGTGATAAACGTAGAAAATAATTAGAAATTAACAATTAGTAATCCGATGCTAAAAATAGAGTAATTAGTCCGCCCGAAAGATATAAAAGCAGCGTAGAATGGACTTAGCATCGGTGTGTTCAGAGTGTTCGACAGTGTGTTCAATTTGGTGTTCAAAGTATTCAATTTAGTGTTCGCAAGATAGTTCTTATCGAAGACGTTCGATATTCCTTTATTATATTTTATTCTTGTTAATAAACGAATATCCATTTATTCTGAAACAATAATTCTTTTTTCCTAGAATTTTCCGTTATATTCGTAAAGCATTAATCCGTATAACGGCAAGATCGGTTGTAATACTTGACTCGCAATCGATCGAGTGGCATTAAGATAGTTAATTATTAGTTCGCAGCGCGCAGTATTTTCTTATTAAGACCCCAACCTACAGACTACCGACTTAATCCACCGGTAGAGAGTAGTTTTTGTTCTCGAGAATAATTAATTATCTAGGATTAGTGTGTGTGACACGTTATAGGAATACGTTAGCACTGAAAAGCCTAGTTTAAAGGTCACTAACTGTTTGTTAAGGTTTAGCTATCGCTGAGGTGAGCCATACTCCTACGACGGCGCAGCTAGATCCCAAACCGAGACAGTAGTTATCCGCTCTCCCGTGACTATTGCCTCGACAAGGAGCCCAAGCTATATTAATTGATGGCATCATAACCAGATCGCTATTCATATATATCATAAAGCAAATCAATCTTTTTTCAGGTGTTCTTGCTTTTTTATAAAGATCTTTCCATTGATTATGAAATTTATTTTGAAAAACAGAGGATTTGACAAGACAGGGAATAATTTTTGTAAGATTGGTTATATGAGAACTAATTATTTTATGAACATCTGCAATATCTTTCCCAGTTACCCAATTATAATTCATCCCAATAATAACCGTATGAATACGTACTGTTTCTTGTTTACTCCAATCCAATTGATCTTTCATAATAATATATTAATATTCATCAAAATTACGTATTTCTTTCAACACAGTAGTGTCTGATAACAAGGTCACAACAGTGTTGTTTTTTCTTCTCACTTCCTGATACATTGGCATTGCATATCGCTCAGGTAGATAATTTTTAAGCGTAACAATTATTCGGAATAAATTTAATGATGAGACGAGAGTCTGTGTTTTTTTATAAGAAAAGGATCATATATTACATAAATCACATATTATTACAATACAGAACTGTTAAATATATCTTTTAGAATTTTACCATAAATTCCCCTGGAAACCGTTGCAAATCGTAAACGTCTGACACATCGATTCTGTTCATGTCTCTCGTGA